AGAGAGAGAGAGAGAGAGAGAGAGAGAGAGAGAGAGAGAGAGAGAGTAACATACCACCTCAGCATAAACATCCTATTTTAAGTATTAAAATCTTTTCAGATTTTTTGGCTTTGTCCATTATAGGATATGTGACCTTAGAAGAGTTCTTTACCTTGTGTTTTTTTTTTTTTTTTTTTAACCTGAAGCTTTGTCTTCATTTTAAATTGAAAGTGCATTGAATAAATACGGCCATGAATTCTTTGATGATCTTCTCACCTAAGGCTGGGACACATGTTCCTCCCTGTGGTTTGGGTGTACTCCATGACCAAGTGACTAGCAGAATATAGTAGATATAACACTCAGCCAGTTTCCCTGAAAAGGCCTTAAGAGATTGGCTGCTTTTACTTCCTGACAGAGGCTTCACTCAAAAGAAGTTGGCCACGGGCTGTGAGGGATCCCGAACTGGCCCCAGCTGCCCTTGGCCTTCAGCAGCAATGTAGCTGTGTCAGTCAAGAAGCCACCTTAAATGTTCAGCTCAGCTGACAGCCTCAGCTGCCATCTTACCGCAAAAGCAAGCAAACCCTTTGCGAAAGGCACCTTGCTGAGCCCATTCACCCCAGAGAACTGTGAGCACTAAGGTTTGTGGTGGTCAGTACAGCCACAGTAGATGGCTACAGTGGGAAGAAACGATGGTACCTATCTCACAGGAGCTTTCCTGTGAACTGGAACAAAGCAAGTTCTCTAACATCTCATCTCTCCTGCCTGGCCTCCTTTCTTCTTTACTACGTACCAGAATCTCCAAGAAAGGACAGTTTCATGTTGTCTACTGAGGTGGGTGGGTGGGGTGCAGTGGGCTGGAGAGAGATGTTTGGAATTTGAATAACACTCCTTTCTTTTCTCCCATCTTCCACTCTTGTCTTCCTGTTCTGTGTTCTTTAAAGCACAGCCAGATCAGTTAGACCTAAAATAAGGATACCAAATTCAGCTTTTAGGACACAGACAGAAAAATCACAGGTTGGTACAGCCTCATGGAAATGAAAACCAAGCGTCAGAAGTTAAAATGATTCCAAGCAAAATTCTCCTTGACAACTTTTGCCATAGCTCTGTGTATGCGCACACATGCGCATGTGCATATGTGAGTGAAACGTAGTTAAACACTGTAGACTACATAATCATTCTACCATGTAAACATGACAGAATTGCAGGCTGTTCTGAGGGGAAGGGTTTAAAAAGTGCACGATTACCTGTAATTATAGTTTTGCTAAGTTTCATGTTATAAAATTCCAGTTGGATTTAAACCACACAGAAAGACATGATGCATATTGGAAATGCTCTTTCTTTCTGACTCAAATGGCTGACCTCACAGCATTCTATATTGTAATGATCTCTTTTCATCGCGATGATTGCTAAGGTTGTGTGTTGTGCCAATCATGTTGTCTATCCTATAACATTTGCTATCAAAGCAGTTTGAGACTATGTCACTTGAATTCCTGCAAACCGCTAAACTTGTTAAGGACAAGTTCATCGCAGAGTCTGAGGTGAGTCTAAGAGGTAGATTCTGCCCGTTACCTGCAAATTAGTTCCAAGTTAGGAGGAAGTCACGCTAGACGCCTGGTGCATACACTTCAACCCTTAATGAGGGGGTACACAGAGTCTCAGTTTGCTGTACGCATTTCGCCGCTGATGTCAGCTACAGATGGTCTGGTCTATAAAGAGCTTGCTTTTATGAGCACAGAACCTACATCTCCCTTGGCACCCAGTCACTTCTAACTAACTGCTGGGGGGGGGGGTCTCATTCCCCGGGGAATAGGTGTGGGACCTTTCAGGACTCTGCTTCCCAATAGAGTTGGCACCCACAGACGTCTGCCGCAGCAGGGCTGTTTCTTACCAGTTCACAGTTCCAGGAGGAGGTGTGATGCATGCCAGGCTAGAAAGCCTGCTCTGTAATTACTTCTTGATTTGTCTTGGGGGAGCTGTACAGGCCTCAACTGCGTGTGAGTTCACGTGAGCTCCGGAGGTCAAGAAGAGCCAGAGAACACGGGTCTGAAGCGAAACAAGTGGTATTTTGTCCCGAAATCAAATGTCACATTTTAAGGAGGTGCTGAGAGGTAGCTGAAGGTCTGTGATTCGGGATGCCACCCCAGATACACCCGTCGGTGCAAGCACGCCCCACGAAGGAGGCAGAATGCGTGCCGGGAGCCACTGGTGGGAGGCTGGCGCCGCGCATGTGGGCAGGCAGCGGGACCCAGCGCCCAGCCGGCTCCCCGCGCCCGAGACACCTGCGGGACCCGGCGGGGCGGCGCTCGCCATTGGGCGCGAACCTCACCCTCGTCGCGCCCGCCACCCCCGCCGCGCCCGCCTCACGGGGCCAGGCACTGGCTCTGGGCGCCAGTGGGGGCGCCGCGGCCCGGAGCAGCGCCGGGGGCGGGGCCTCGGCGAGACGACCTGTGATTGGCCGCAGGAGGCGGGGGCGGAGCCTTCCCGGGAGAAAACCGAGCGCGCGCCTCCGGGTCCAGTCCCGTCCCGAGCCTGACTCCCGGGAGCTGAGCTCCCCGAACGCCGCTCCGCTTGCTCCTGCGGTTTCTCCGTGCCGCGGCCGCCTCCTCTCCGTCCTCGCACCCGCTCCCCAGCTGCGCGCCTCCGCCTGTCTGCGCGGTGCAACCCCGGCCGGAGCGGCGATGCGCCTCATCCAGAACATGTGCACCATCGCCGAGTACCCTGCCGCGGGAAGCGCCGCGGCCGCCGAGTGCTGCTTAGGGCCCGCGGGCCGCCGGCTCGTCAAGATCGCCGTGGTGGGGGCTAGCGGCGTAGGCAAGACCGGTGAGTGCGCGCCCGCCACTCGCGGTGAAGGAGGCGCGGGGAGGGAGTGCGGCCCGGGAGGGGCCTGAGCGGCCATCACCTGCGCCCCTCTGCGCCCACTGGCCAGCGTGACCGAGCCTCAGGACGGCCAGGCGGCTTTCTGCGCGTTATCAGCGCCTTGGGGGTTAGAACTTTGGGGGGCTGAGCGTCTGGCATTTCTGGAACCGAAAGGGAGTGAGTGAAGTAACCCCGCCAGGGCCTCCGGGGCCGGGGAGACACTGTCTGGTGGAAGGCTTAGGTGTGGCCCAGCTGGCCACACAAGACAGGGTGTGCAACCAGACCCTCCGTGGCAGAGCTGGAGTCTGTCAGGGTGCTACTCCTCAGCCTGTCTGAAAGAAGGGGCAGGGTAGGAATTTCCTCAGTGGCTTTCTCCCAGAGTTGTGTTCCAGATGTGTGGTGGAGACGCAGCTAAGTTCGGGGTCACTTCTCTTACTTTTCTCTTTCTGATCTGCAGCTCTGGTGGTCCGATTCCTCACCAAGCGATTCATTGGGGACTATGAAAGAAACGCAGGTGAGGAGCGCGTTGCGGAGGCGCTGTCAGAACTGCTGTGCCCATTGCTCAGAGCCTTCCTGGCAGGTTCCTTCGCAGTGACAGCCAGGATCCTGCCTCTTTCCACTGTGCATGCCCTCCATCCACCCGTCCCCCAGCTGCCATCTGGCCTCATTCCATTCCAGGCCCATTCATCATTTTATCAAGTGCCTCAAAGTATTCCCTTTGGTATGTTTTAACTATAGGGACCCCAGTTGGAAGCACCCTTTGTACTCCAGGGCCTCTCCCTTCAAAACACGTCTGCAGAAGTCATAAAAAACTCTGCCTAGCTCCCCCCCACCCCCTCCCTCTCTGCTGGCTGCTTTTCAGAGGTGACCTTTGAAAGCAAAGGCCAAAGGAGAACAGTTATAAACCTAAAGTTCCTTTTCCCTAACAAAGAAAAATAACTAAATGGTAGATTTCAGGAACAGAGTTCCTGAATAAATGAGAGGACAAATATTTCAGTTCCTGTGGTTAAAAACAGCCACTGGCAAGGCTTATAGGCTTTCTATCTATGTATGCACTGTTAGATTTCTTCATTCAATAGCCTGGATAAAGTACCCATAGGGGAGTCACTGAATCAGTTATATAAGCTGTCCCAAGGAAAGCCGTCTTAGCCTTTTACTTTGATGTAGTTAATTATCACCACATTTTATTATAGCTGATAATGTGAGCTGTGCTTTTACTAACCATATTTCATGGCCAAAATATAAACTTAGGATCAAAGAATGATAATATACTAAAATAAAACAAAATTCCATGCATGCCAAAGCAAGAATATTTGCTTCAAGGCTGAGGGTGGTGGCGCACACCTGTATTGTAGTACACGGGAGGCTGAGACAGGAGGATTGCCATGAGCTTGAGGCCAGCTTGCACTGCGAACCGAGAGCCTGTCAAGAAAAAAAAAAAAAAAGAAAGAAAAACAGAAAGAAAGAAAAGCTTCAAGGAAATAGTCCAAGTATGGAAAACTCATTTAAAGTTAAATAAGGTTTTCAAAAACTTACAAACTTTGTTCTGGCTTTAATAAACTAACTAAACATGGGGCTACAATCTCAGTTGGCCTTCAAAACATTTTTTTAAAATAAGCACATTAGGGGCTGGGGAGATGGCTCAGTGGAATAAGCACTTGAGCGCAAGGGTCTGAGTTCAATCCCCAGTTCTGCCAAAATAAATAAATAAATAAATAAGCACAGTAAGTAGAAATAAACTATATCTTCTTTTTGTGTAACTATGTAGGCTACATTATTCCTAACATAAAACAAAACAAAACAAAAACAAAAGCCCTCACAGTGCTGTGAAGTCACACATGAAGGAAAAGCATAATCTTTCTCTCTTTGCCTCCATAGGTAATCTGTATACCAGACAAGTCCAGGTGGAAGGGGAAACCCTAGCCATACAAGTTCAGGACACTCCAGGAATTCAGGTGAGAGCTCAGACTACAACTGGGTCAGATGGGAGCTTTGCTGGGTGTGGACCTAAGGGAGTCAGGGCTAGACTTACATACTGCTTGACGCTTCAGTTGCATCTGGCTGTGGGTCGGTTTTAGCCTGGCTTGGTTTGGGAGCTTTGGCAGAGAGACAGAACCCTTCTATTAGGAGTACTCCGCACAGCAGGAAAGACTAAACCAAACACTGGGAGTTGGCAGAGTCTCCTTGCTATCATTAGAAAGATCAGTTTTTACATACATGTCTTTGGCATTAAAAACCAAATATTGAGGTATAGTTTCAAATACTTTGAATCACTTTTATGTTGTGGAAAGTTACTCTATAGACAAAAGAGCCATGTTAGTGGTTTTTTTTTTTTCTTTCAAACTGGGCAGTTATCCAGGTTTAAATGCTTCCAGCTCCTATCTTTACTTCCCCAGACTTACTGTCTAGCCAGTTAATTTCCCATTTTGTGCAACTACAAAGTCTCTCTGCATGGAGTTCTCTGCAGGTCAATTTTCCACTTGAGTGTGGTGAGCTGCACTGTTATTTATTCCAACTCTGTGCAGCTGGATCAACATATTGTCAAGAAAGCTGAAGTGTGTAGGGATAAAACGTGTTTATGACTTGCAGCCCGGCATTACTGTGAAGGGCTCTTTTGAATTCAGTATCCCACCAATCCCGTGCTCTTTGCAGCACTCGCCATTCACCTTGCCATCACCCCTCTCTTCCAGGCCCACGAAAATGGCTTGAGCTGCAACGAGCAGTTGAATCGGTGCATCCGGTGGGCAGATGCTGTGGTGATTGTTTTTTCCATCACTGACCACAAGAGCTATGAACTCATTGGACAACTCCACCAGCATGTCCAGCAGCTCCACCTGGGCACCCGGCTGCCTGTGGTGCTCGTGGCTAACAAGGCTGACCTGCTGCACATCAAGCAGGTTGACCCTCAGCTTGGACTGCAACTGGCTAGCATGCTGGGCTGCTCCTTCTATGAAGTGTCTGTCAGTGAAAATTACAACGGTGTCTATAATGCTTTCCATGTCCTGTGCAAAGAAGTGAGGCACAAGCAGCAGCCCAGCGGCACGCCTGAGAAGCGAAGAACCTCTCTCATTCCACGGCCCAAGTCACCCAACATGCAGGACCTGAAGAGAAGGTTCAAGCAAGCTCTCTCTGCCAAAGTGAGAACTGTCACCTCTGTTTGAAATGTGACGCTCAAGGGGGTTTGATCTTCCAGGAAGAGGCCCGGAGGTGCTTCTAGGTTGGGATCCTTGGGTGCCACCAGTAGTTTGTGTTTCCAGGAAGGGCTGGAGCCAAAGGGCCTGGGGCCTGTGGAACTGCTGCATAAAGACATGCAGTGGAAGCAGAGGACAGATGGATGGGGCCTGAGTGAGCCCCTAAAAGCCACTCTCTGTACATGTGACCTGTCTGTGTCTTGTGTCCTCCAGGGTGGGGAAGAGGGCACACTTGTTATGGTTGTTCTTAACTGCCTTGTAAATGATGGTCAGTTGTAGTTTCAAGCAGATATATTTGTGTGGTTGATGGTGGGAATGAAGGGACTGATTAAATCTTTGTAGACTTCCTTTTCTCCCCTTCCTCTTCTTTTCTTTCTCCCAAAAGGAAGAATTACTTTTCTTCTGTCAACATGTTTTGCCCCTCTGGAACACTGTTCCTTACAGAATATCTTTCTAATCTAAAGGATACCCAGATTTCTTTTTTTAAGAACAAAGAGAAAAACAAAACAAAACCCAAAGGGGCTCCAGTTTATGGGCTCACAGACAGCTAGACCTGTGGTCTACAGGAGGCACTGGCTGTGCTCACCCGCGACGGGGTTGCTCCGTTGGACATGCATCCAGGAGCTGGGAACTCAGACTCTTCAACTCCAGACTGATTGTAAGACTATATAGTTCCTTGTGGTTTTTCTTAAACTGTTGGATCAGGTACAGAACAGTGTCAATGGATTTTGGTGTGATTTGTGTAAATGGCTTATGGCAATGACATTGGGTTGCTTTTCCTAGGCCGGGCGGAGTCATGGTAATGGGGGGCGAAAATACAAAAACACTATCTTACGGAGTGTCCAGATGCAGGGGCTACCTGCCAAATCCCCTACACAAATGCACTTTAAAAAGCCACTTGTGCTTTGGGTTAAACTGTAATTAATTTATTTTATGTACAATAAATATCATTTTAAAAGAACAGGCATGTGACTTGGTCTTCCTTGGAATGTTAACACTACCCTTCAGAAAAAAAAAAAATATTATTAGCATCTTTTATTGTGTATACTGAGTCAGGCCTTAAGCCTTCTAGGGTTTGTTGAAGTCTCAGAACCAACCAATGAGACACATTTTATTATCCCTATTGTACAGATGGTGAAATAGGCTTCGAGAAGAGCAGGTTAAATAACGTGTCAGGGGACAACCTGGGAGGGTGGTATATTACAGTTGGCTGCTTTATATTCATAAGCAGCATAATTCCTACTCCATTTCCTTCATGGGCCTCTCCATAAACCTAAAACAAATGTCTGATTAAACATATCTTTCAGCAAAGCCCTGAGGGTACAGGTGCTTCTACACAAAATCAGTGCTTCCATATATGCAATTTACTTGATAAACCTATTGGTATAGTTTCCCAAAATACACTTTCTTCTCACAGTAAAAGCTTGCAGCCATTGCTCTCGGGCTGTTCAGAGCCACTCCTATGAGGGTGTGTACTCCTGCCAGCCTCTTCTCACTTCCATTGGTCCTGAAAGGCCTTCTGTGCATGCCAAGTCACTGTCTTGATGGGCCAATGACCACACTGTATTTATTCACACGGGGCTTTCCATCTCGGTCTGCCCAGTCCGCAGGATAGCCCTGTGAGGAGGTGGGGCAGGTGACACCATTTTAAAGAGGAGAAAAGCAAATTCAGTTTTGAGTGACTTGCTCACATTCACTGGAAGACTTGAATCAGTGTCTTCTCACTGTATGGCATTTCCTGTGTAAACACACACACACAATACTGCCTGCATGCGTGGGGCTGTGGGGCCAAGGGAAGCAGCCAACCTGCATAGCTGCTGGGGTTCTCTGTATGGCCTGGGGTCAGGCTTTCAAAAGTTTCCTGGGCTGAACTGCTATCCTCAGTGATGCTCTGAGGAGGCCTGAAGCTTTCCAGTTGAGCAACTTTCTACATTTAGTGCCTACAGATGCCTTGAGAAGGGTGTACCTCACTGTGTAGAGACCTGACCAGACGCTCCTCACTGGTTTTCTTCCTATGCAGGTGTGGTCGCAATGCCCAGTGAGTGGGTTTTACCATGATCTCTTACCCATGGCCTAAACTAAAGAAGGGAAGTGTTTCCTGTGTCCAGCTTACTGCAGCACCGCTCTCCTTCCCATCACTCTGCGCCTGTGCAGCCCTCCTGCAGGTGCGGTCTGCTCCTGGCTGGGAGGACACAATACCTTTGCATCTCCCAGCCTCTGGCCCTAACCACTGCCCCTCAGCCCTCACCCGTGCACAGAACTGTGTCCCACATATCACCTAGACATTCTGGGTACAAGGGGTCCTGAAACTTTAGTCCATCCAAAGGGATGAAGTGGTTTTTGTTTGGCAGGGAGTGAAGGGGGAGACCATGGCGCCCCTGTAAACTACCCAGGTCCTGGTTCTGTCCAGTGTCTTGGGCTGATTGAAGTGTTGGTGGTTCTACAATGCACCCTCCTTCTTCTCTTTTTATGAAGTTGGCTTTATGTTTCATTATTTTCCTCATCTTTCATTATTAGTACCTCTGTATTTAATCCTTTCTCCTTCTAAAAATGTCTAAATTCCAATCTCCTGACCCTGAGAAACATGCTTCTCCTTCCTGGGTGGGACAGCTCCTGGGCATGCTGGCAAGGGGAGGCAGGGGTGTGTGTGTGTGTGTGTGTGTGTGTGTGTGTGTGTGTGTGTGTGTCTAGGAACAGAGCCCCTGTGGAGAGGAATGGATCTGCATTTACTGCACAAGTACATCCTGCCAGATTATACACATTCTCCTCGAACATTCTGAATCCTGAGGAGGATAAGGAGATTCCTACTGTATGCACAAGAATTCGTTTCCTGCTTAGGAATTCATTACCTGCTTAGGACTGCAGAGATGGTGCCATGATTGCTTCTGCTCTATTTCTGGAAAACCTATGGGCTGGGCACAGTTTGGGGGGAAGGTTTGAAATAATGAACATTTCCCACAACTATACCACCCATCTTCAGTATTCTACAGAAAAGGAAATGGAGGCTCAGAATGAAGCAGCTGGCCCAACTCTGAAGAGACAGACCCAGGTCTCTGCTTCAGGTAGCCTGCTGGGCCCAACTCCTCCAAGAGACACCCTCTCTGCCACCCGATCCTCCCTTCTGGGCCCTATTTCCTTGCCTGTTCCCCCATCTCCCACCTCCTGTCTGCTATTGGCTCTGGCTCCTCCCTGGGCCCCGGCCCCCCTCACAGCCAGGCCACATCTGCTATTGCCATCAGCCAGCTGCTGCTGGCCTCTAGCCCCACTCCGGAATAAAGACGTCCAGGCGGTGGGGTGGGGGTGACTGCCAGTCTGTCTTAGAACCAACCAGACCCATATCTGTCATGAAGTCTGGCTTTCGAGTTGCCTCCCTGCCTCAAATCAAAACCACTCTTGGCCCTCTGCAGGCTGCCAGGCCCCGCTATGCTGTCAGAGGGATGGTGGACACTGCTGGCCCTACTTGCCTCTCTCTGTGCCCACATGGACAAGGTACCACCAGACCTGAGTCTTCCACCCAGCTTCTCTGAGCCCCCAGGTTAAGAAGCTATGGGCATGTTGACAGAGAGCCTCTTGTTTAGGAGAAAAATGGGATTTCAACATTCATCTTATACCCCAAGAGGGAAAAAACAAATCTATGTTCTGGGCAAACGAACAAGCTTGTGGGCAAATTCCCACAAAGAAGCAGTTGGGAAACTGATCCTGCCTTGGCTGAGGAGAAATGGAAAGGGCTGGCCGTCTCTGTAGAGAACTCATGCTAGGCCCCTCTGGGAATGGCAGCCCAGAAGGAATCCCAGAGCTTGTCTGGTTACAATGAATAACATCCAGGAAAACTGGTACTGCTGGCACTTCCAGAAAGTCTAAAGAGAGAAGGTTCCAGAAAGTTCTTATTGTTCTCATTACTCTTGCATTTGAGAAGTGAGCAGGATTAAGATTCTTGACAGTGTTAAGACCCCAGACATCCCCATGACTTTCTCACATAGCCTGCAGACCTGTCACCAGCTGGATTTGTTTGCTTTTTGTCATTTTGAGACAGGATCTCACTATGCAGTTCAGGTTGGCCTTGAGCTCACCTTGTTGCCCAGGCTAGTCTCAAACTTTCAACAATCCTCCTGCCTCAGCCTCCCCAGTGCTGGGATTACAGGAGTGTGCCATCATGTCTGGTTCTTGGATTTGTCTTCTTATATTCCTTTTAAAATAGAGATAGAGGGGCCGGGGAGATGGCTCAGTGGAATAAACGCTTCCCTGGCAAGTGCAAGGGCCTGAGTTCAATCTCCAGTTCCGTCAAGATAAAATGAAATGAAATGAAATGAAATAATGAAATGAAATGAAATAAAATAAAATAGAGATAGAGTTCTTGATGTTTCTTGGACAGAATGATAGACAACATTTATAATACTGGATTATTTGTTGTTGAGATTGTGTTTGTAGGAACTGGGGTAAAATAAATAATGGTGGTCTTTGGAGGGAGCTTGATGGAATTCTTTGTTATTGAAATACCACTATAACGCAGGGGCAGAGGCCTAAACAAAACTATCGGCGTAGGTCCTGGCCCTCTGAGGCCGATGCTGGCTCTGGAGCACTTCCAGACACTTTGCTGTGTCCACCATGTTTGCTGGGAAGAGAACTGCAGGGAGGTTTACAAAATCAGAAGTCAACTGCTTCAAAGTATTTATACCTCCATTGGATGTGTTTATAAAAGGTGGCCTGTTAGGTCCCTGGCAGGAGATTTGCATGCACGTGCTTGTTTTGGCTCTGGCCAGTCACAGTTCAGATGATAAACATTCACACCCAGGCCTGAAAAAAGAGAAAGCAGCCCCAGCACTTAGCTTGGCCCTTTTGTATCACTCCCAGGTGGCTGACATGGGGCTGGGAGTTGCAGTGCCTCTTTAGTACGGATATATTGGGGTAAGGGCGAAGAGGTAAATCAGGGTGGCAACGGCAGATTCTGCACAGCAGACTTGTGCCATTTCCCCTGTCTCTCAGGAACCGCCTGTGACCAGGTTTCATGCAGGATTGAATGCACTTTCAAGACATGATAACTGCTTCGTGGTAACATAGTAACACAGGTTATAGCTTTTGGATATTCTTTTATAAAGTAGAAATGTTTAACTGTAGTTTAAAACTATAAAGTCCCAAAGATAATATACAACTAATACATGTTTACTGTAAAAAATCAAAACAATGCGGAACTATATAGAGAGTAGGACTACTTCTTTTAGCATTCCCACTTGACATTTATGCCCAGAGTAAGCTCTTGTTATCAATTTGGCTTTCTATTTCAGAAAATTCCCTGTGCATGTAGACACGTGGCTTGCAACTTAACTTTCAGAAGAACCTCATGGTGCCAGGCATCAGGAGGAGCACAGGGGCCTGATCTCTGCGTGCCACACAGTCAGGGGCTTGTGGCTCAGAAGGTTGCAGAGTGCCGGAATGTTCACTCACTGCAGCCTTGACTTTATTTATTTATTTATTTAGTCTTTTTGAGACAGGGTCTCAATATGCAGTCCAGCCTGGCTTTGAACTTACAACAATCTTCTTGCCTCAGTCTCCCTAGTGCTGGGATTACATATTTTAGAATGAATGAAAGAATGCAAATTTGAGTCATATAACAGGCTACTTTATTTCAGAAAATATTAATCTCTGCTTACATTATAATTTTTTGGGGGTGACTGCCATTTTCCTCATTTAAACTAAGATTTTAGATTAGCAGGATTAAAAAAAGTAGTGTGGTGTCGCATGTCTGTAATCCCACTACTTGGAAGGCTGAGGCAGGAAGTTCATGAGGCTGAGGCCAGCCTGGGCTACATACCAAGATCTTGTCTGAAAAAACAAACACACAAGCAAGCAAGCAAGCAAGTAAACATCTGAGTTCTATTCAGCACCATCAAAGAACTGGCATTAAGTGGAAAGCATACTTAGGCAAGAAAGTAAACATCTACTTCTATAAACATCCTGCTTTTATTATATCTCAATGATTTCCAACCTCACATTTTGTTTTATTTTCCCCATGAAATGAGTGTTTTTAAAAATCAGAGACTGAGTATCTTGGTGTACATTTTATTTTCTCTACCTGTTTAAATCCACGCTAGAAACAGTTTTCAGTTTTGTCTTCTTATTATAAATATCTTTTAGAGATTCTAGCAATTTCCATTGACCACATCAATAAATGCCTGGGCTTAAAACTGTTCTTTTTCTTTTCCTCCTTAGAGTTCTCATAGTATTTCACCAAATACAACTGGATGTTTCTTCTAGGGTCAGAAGGAAAATTCAACTTACGGAAAAGAAAGCTTTATGTTTCAATAGGCACTGTGAACCCTAAAGGCCATGAAGGAATGGGGTTTACCACTGGACTCCCCCAGAGGAGAAAGCCCCTGCTGGAGGCTGCCTCAGAGTCAGGAAGACTTCATAGGCCAGCCTGGCCCTCACCCCTTCTCCCCTGCTGTTTCAAGGAGCCTGGCAGCTCTGCCCAGGGAGCTCTTGGAACAATGTCACCTTTTGTATGGCAGGGTGATTTACAACGCGTGCAGGCGACCAGGCTGCCCCACTGCCAGCCCTCCCTTCCTCGTCTGTTCAGAATGCTCCAGATCAGGAGAGAAACAAAGCCTCAGACTCTACTTGCAATGTTCCTCCTGAGTTATACAACTTTAAGAAAAACCCGTTTCCTTACACTCATAACTCTAAAGCACTTTTGCCTTCTCTTTGACCAATGCCCAATCAAAAGGCTTTTTGCCACCTATCCACATTTGCCAACAGGCCTTTATCTAGATTTAAAGAAGATAAGGTAGAATCAGGAGAACATAAGGAAGATAAGATGATAAATGGAAATTGCCACTAATTAGGTCAGCTAAAGATAGCTTGCTACCTTTAGCAAAATGAAAAAGACAAAAAAAAAAAAAAAAAAAAATCAAGGCACAATTTTTTTTGGTACACTGGATTGAACCTAGGAGTACTGAGCTACATCCCCAGTCTTTTTTTTTTTTTTTTTTTTTTTTTTAATTGGAAAGAAGTTGTTATTTTTACTTGGAAAGATCTCACTGAGTTGCTAAAATTCGAAATTGTGATCCTCCTGCTTCAACCTCCCAAGTAGCTGGGATTACAGGCCTACACCACCAGGCCCAACTGTAATTTTTTTTAAAGAATAAGACCAATCTAAATAAAGTACCTCATTACACAGTTATCAAGACCCTTTCAGCACGATGCAGTCATACCCACAATTAGCTAGGCATATCTGGAATGAAGACAAACAATGGTATTGGTATTTCCAGCTTGGGTAGGTCTTATCTTCTTAGTAGATGTCAGAAGCCAAGGTCTGGATGTAGTCGGTCTGTTGCAAAGAGCAGCTCAGGAATGTTAAGTGGCTTCAGGAGTCTCGTGGACAGCACGATCACCTAACAGGAGGGGCAAATAAATTGTAGAAGTTTGGAAAGTCAACACTGGGTTATTTGATTTTAAGAAATAAAATGCAGCAAGTGTCTTTGGAGAGAGGCACAGAGTGGAGGGCCATGAAGAAGAGAGTGTGACAGGTTGAATGTCTTCTGGTACTAGTGTCCTGCTCTGTGTGTGTGTGTGTGTGTGTGTGTGTATGTGTGTGTGTGTGCATGGTCTAGGAAGGATGGCCCGTGGAACAGCTGGACAGGTCTACTAGACCTTTAACCAGGGATACACTAAGAAAGCATGAATGATGCTGGATGCACTGAGAGGCTGAGCCCAGCCACCCCTTGCTGCTGAACTGATTGAGATCACACCCTAGCTTTAGCCTGTGGCAATTAGATGGCAGGCTTCTTTGGGGGAAGCCTTTGCTCACCCATGCTAGGTATAGCTAAGAGGAGGGTCTGTGCTGGGATACTGCTTGCACTGGTTTCTTGGTACCACAAACTGAGTCCAATCTACACACACTTACACAGTTTTGGGGACTTCAAAGTCTAAGATCAAGGTGCTATAGGGTGGGTTCCTTCCAAAAGCTGCAAGGGAGCCGCTTCTACCTCTTGCTCTCACTCTCTGCATCTCTGCACTGTCTTCCTCTATATATGTCTGTCACTCTGTCCTTTTCCCACATACAGCCATACTAGATTAGAGTCCATACTAATGAGGTCTCCTTAATATAACTGATTACAAAGACTATTTCCACATAGGTCACATTCACAGGTTTGGGGAGTGGGGCTAGAATTTCAACATCTCTTTTGGGGGTGGATGAACACAAGTAAAACCATGATGATGATGACAGTAGCAGCTAGTATTTCCTGGTTCTTCTGATGAGCCAGGTTCTGAAGATTGGCTGTCATCTCCACTTAATCCTCACCACATGCCTTATTAGCCGCATTTATTGTTCCCATAAGGCAATGCTAGGTCACTCTTCCAGGATACACATAAGCAGCTAAGTAAGGAGCAGCTGAGGTCCTGGCTCCAGGGTCAGTGTCCTTCACCAGAGCTCTGGGAGTGGCTGCCTGGCTTCTCTAATCTATAGGGGGCTTTTGGCCCTTCCAGTTGCTCACTGGGTGATGCCTCTAGCTTCTGTTGGCCTGGACCTTACTCTGGGGGCAGATTTCTCTTCCAGCATGGTGAGAGCTTATTTCCAGGGCTGAGTGTGTGAGATGTTCTGTAAGGACTGGTGATGTTTGAGGAGGTAGCCACAGGATGAGGGGCTCGAATCAGAATACTACAGGGTGGCACCTGAGCCAGGTGATGTCAAGGCTGCAGCCTGACTCACCTGCATACACTGCCCGGCTGTGCTTCAAGGGGAGCAAGTTGGTTTGGGCACTTCCCCATCCTCCCCTCCTGCCCTCCAAGGTTGTTCCAGGTGCAGCCAAGTCAATGAAGCAATCAATTACTAATTCACCAGCTCACTGAGGGAAAACGGAGCCCACATTCCAGTGCAATGGGGAAGAGTGGATGGCAACCAGTGTAGGGAGGTGTTTCATAATTTTTTTGTTGTCATTAAAAACAATTTTTCAAAAACCTACTGAAAAATTTCTCTTTTAAAAAAACACTAGTAGGGGCCAGGGAGATGGCTCAGTAGAATAAGCGCTTCCCTGGCAAGCGCAAGGGCCTGAGTTCAATCTCCGGCTCCGCAAAATAAATAAATAAATAAATAAATAAATAAATAAATAAATAAAAAAAAATATTAAAAAAACCCCACTAGTACATGGAAGCACCTATTTTACTTGCTTTTTTTTTTTTTTTTGAAATGGCATTATCTTAAGCAAATATATTGCTAACGTCAGCCAAGTCATTTTTGGTAGAAAAAAATTGCACTGAAATTTGTGCTTCCCATTTCTTCCCTGAAAGCCAAACAATGAGAGTTTGAAGACACTGAGCAAATGTTAGCATTCCCTCATCATCTGTGTACATGGCTCGAACACTGTCTGAACTTGTGCACCTGGAGAGGGCCTCTCTTCATCCCAGTTTTTTTTTTTTTTTTTAATGTATTTTAGTACAGGGTCTAAAGCGTCTTACTACACAGATCAGACTTGTAGTGATCCTCCTGTTTACAGCCTCTCAAGTGCTAGGATTACAGGCGTGCCACCACACCCAGTCTCAGTCGCCTCTCAGTGCACCCCTGGGGTGGGACCAGCACGGAATGCCAGGGATCAAACCCTGGTCATTGTGCCTATCTAAGCAGGTGCTTTAGTCCGTTGAGCTATTTGGCCAGCCCTAACATCCCAGTTCTTTTGCAGGTGAGTGGTAACATTAGCTCCCAGGCCAGGGTAGTCAGCAGGACTGAGCAGACCCTAGCTGCAAATCACAGCTTAGACTTAGAGTTAAGTGATATTTGAGGGCTAGCAAAGGGCATTGTCTGTACCATCACTGCTGCTCCTGTTCTGCTGCTCGTGTGCTTACTGGGGCCACCAATCTGACTATTCCTCACAGGCTTAAAATCCTTTGCTCCTCCTGGATGCCCTTTGCTAGGCCCAAATGTCACTTAACTCTAACTCATTGGCTTCCACTGTCCCAGCAGGACAAGAACTCCACAGCATTGCCTGGAGGATGAGAAAAGGTCCAGTGTGGAAAGTATGGGAAGAACTGCACACTTGTCAGCGGTTTTGCTGTGGCTTTTGTGACTGTGCTACAGACCTCCTTTTCAAACTTAGAAGGTCTAACAACTCTAGAGAAATGCAAGTATGTTCATATATAACATTCCAAATACAGTGTTAGGGAAAGTTCATGGACTCCTAGGGAATTCTGGTGCACAGTTAGGAAACCCATTAAAAATGCATGCATCAAGACACAAGTTCTTTGTGCACTCTCTGGAAGTAGACTCTTCTGAGGTAAGAGAGGCCAGTAGGGGCTAATGAACCAAACAGTCCCCTCAGCATCACTTTCCAGTCCTACCACGCTGGTGGCCCCTGAGATTCTTACTTCTATATAAAGCTGATAGACTCCTCTCCGGCTGAGGTAAGGCTAGTGAAAAGGGCTAGAGTGCACCTCCGAGAGTGTGTTGAGATCCTAGGCAGGACTGAGGAACTCAGAGCACAAGGACTACGGACTCAGCTGAGGCCAACACTTTGAGAGCAACACTAACTGTGCCTCAGTAATCTATCACTTTCAAGTCAGGTTCTGGGCTCATTTCCACCCTTGAGCTGGAACATGAAGACTGGCCTCCTCACATCTAAACAAATAGGTCTCTGCACCCCCATCAGGGAGGGCTGAGTGGGAGGGTAGCTGGGACCCGCTCTGCAGAAGAGAAGAAACAGATGGAAAACAGAGGCTTCTCCTGAAGTAGGTTAGGGGGCCCTAGAGGCAGGGCTGAGCCCAAGAATTCTTCCCACCTCAGCAGTTAAGAGCACAGGGCTGGGAGTGCCAACTGCTGGACGTGAGCTGGCCCACTTGCCAGAGGGCTGACTGAATTTGCTCCATCACTCAGAGTCTCCATTTCTTCATCTGTGAGATGTGAATAAGCATCCACATTGGGAACAAATTTAAACATCTGTGTGGAATACTTAGCACAATGCAGGCTCCAGAGGGGCCTGACAATGAAGTTGCTATCATTGTTTGTACCACCACTGCTGCCCCTGTTCTGCTGCTTGTGTACTCACTGGGCCACCAATCTGACTATTTCTCACAGGCTTAGAGGCCTTTGCTCCTCCTGGCTGCCCTTTACTAGGCCCAATGCCTCCAGAGTGTTTCAGGCCTTCAGAATGGGCTTATGGCTCAGCACCCCTCACCCCACACCCTTGCCTCTACACCCTTTCCCCCATCAGTCCTTCTTCCACTTGAAACTAATTGGTTCTTTGAGGATATGTCCTTATCTGCAGGAGTCCCCTACACATTGCCCAGTGACCTATTCATCCACCTTCCATTGCTCAGGCCCTGACTCCTCCGGCTGGTCTGGCCTTTCTAGACCAACCTCCTCTGAGACTGCGCATGTCCCTGGGCATGCCTGCACTCCTTTTCTTCCCTGGCCTCTCACTGCTTCTTAACACAGTGTTTGATGCAGAGGTGGCCCTGGATTTACAGAGTTCATAATGAACTAAATGCACAGAAGCAAGAGGCCAATAAAGGCAACAGTAGGCTATGGTCAGTAGTAGCAAGGTTTCTCATTCTGGGAGGCTCCTGTAAAAGACTGTCAAGTGACACTGGGCAAATTTGTTTCATATAAACTCAACAAAAAACATACTCTACTAAAATTCCTATTTGAGGTGCAAGCAAGGTCACATTGCTAACATTCACTTGTAGTGCAATAGTTGGTGGTCTTCAAGTATTTTTATATCTTAGGCATTTTTGGCATTCTGACTACTTTTGAGTGTTTTAGATTTTTTTTTCTAGTTTATTCAACTATTGCTGGTTCTGCACAGTCCTTTAAGTTCTAAAAAAATGTTCTTCATATGGGGGAACACTGCCTCAAAATTGGAAAACACTCAGAAGAGCACAAAACAGCCTTATCTGACAGAATTTGAATGCTTTAACCAGTGCTACCAAACTTGTGATAGCAGTCAAATCAACCATTAGCAAATTCCTTTCAGAAAACTGCCTTTTTTTCTCCTTCTTCCTACTCCTCCTCTTCTTTCTTCCCTTCCCTTCCCTTCCCTTCCCTTCCCTTCCCTTCCCTTCCCTTCCCTTCCCTTCCCTTCCCTTCCCTTCCTTATCATTACTATTATTGTGGTTACTGGGATTGAGCCTATGGACTTCACTCTGAGCTACATTCCTAACCATTTCTTTTTTATTTTGAGCCAGGGTCTCGCTAAGTTGTTGAGCTGCATAGGCTGGGCTCAAACTTGAAGTCCTCTTGGCTCAGCCTCCTTGTGTCAGGATCACAGGTATGTGCCACTGCCTGTGAGAACTGCCTTTTCTCAGGCCATGGAAGGCCTGAAGAAAACACCCAGCCAGGACTGGCCTTCATTCCTTGCCCTCTACATAGCTTGAGTTCCCTTGAGTTTTTGCTTTCTCTTTC